TTTTTTTAGATATGGTGTTCTGATTTGTAATCGTATTATTTTAAAGTTTCAAAAAATATTTTCAAACAAATTTGTAAATAAATTTATCAAACATTAGCGAAAATATACCGCAGATGGAGTGCTGAAAATCATGCATTAATGCATGCATTACCGGGCTTTCATTTATCCATTATTCATCTTATTATTTATCTATTGCATTTTTCCTGTAATTTTATTGAGTGTTTCGTGGTATAAATCGAGAATTATCTGGTATGAATTCAATTTAATCAAAAATTTTTCAAATGTAGGTCAGGTTTAATTGTTGTGTACAATTACTAAGATAACTTTGTGAACATTTGAAAAAAAAAAGACTAAAGAATACAGTGAAGCTAAAATTTTTTCTCCGATTCATATTTGAGATGGTTTTTATTTTCGAATATTAAGAAATGAGCAATTACTGTCCCTGGTCAAATTATTAGACGAACTATAAAATTTTGCCTTATATTTTCTTTCGTTTCGGGCTTCATTGGTACTTTGATTTAATTTTCTTTTTATGTGCCTTCAGAAACCTTCAATTTTCCTGAAATTTTGCTGTCTGAAAATATTTTAGTATTCACTTTACTTCAGCTTTTTCACATGATGAAAGATCACCTTTTTTACGCATGACGAAAGTGTTAAAATAAATTATTTCAACACTCCACACAAAATAAATAAACAACTGCGTTGTATAAAACTGCTAAATAAATAAGCGCAGCTCATAAAGTCACAGAAACACGTCCACAACCGACGCACGTGACAACGCGACTGGAACTGGTTTGCACTTGCTTAAGTACGTGTATCAATTGGTTAACATTGTAATGCAATACATTAAAAATAAATACAAATAGTAAGTATACAAAAATTCTCCTCCATGAAAACCCATTACATGTATGTTTAAATATGAAAGTGTAGCATATAAACTCGTGCAAAACATCTAATTATTAAAAGAAACTACAGTGCCAGATAATAATTTGCTAATTAAAAGTAAATTAATTAGTAATAAGTAATGTGATAAGTAAATTAATTGGAACGGGAAAATAAATTTTTTGTGGATATATTAAAAAGCAATATTTGTTACATTAATTAAAATATTTGTTTAAATATTACTTAAAACATTGTTAATTATTATAAATAATTAATAAAGCTTTAATTAAAAGCATTAATACGCTGTAAAATAAGTATTCTTTCTTACAAAAAATGTTGGAATGTTAGCTCTCATATTGGAAATATCTTGGTAAAATTTCACGCAAATTGGTTCACTGATTCATTGGACGAATTTGTTTGAAAGATGTGGTTTTGTGGAATGCTTGTTTGAAATGTTTGATGCTTTATTAATCATCTCTTTTGATGAAACTGTGTGATGGCTTTAACCGTAGATGGTTCGAAATTTGAATCATACATTTAAAATGCACTGAAATTTTTTTTGAATTGTTATATACTAGAAATGAAGATCCTTAGGTGTATTTAAAGTATTTGAAATATATAGCGACTCAATCGTATGCAATTATAATTTTATAATACCTAATGAACATAGGGAAAACTATATAATAAATATCAATAAACCCTCAGAATAGTTTAAGTGTGATATTTTGCATCCATTAACAGAATATTTATGCATTAATTTAATTTTAAATTATTATAAAGTTGAAATAATATACAACTGAAGAATGCTATTGTTTCAGTATTTAAAAAAGTATTTATTTAGAATTCCATACAAATATTTACAACAGTATATGTACAAAAGTTTATACTATTAAAAACAATCTGCAGAATCATAATTTGTGATATTAATGATAGATATTTTTTATTTTAAAAATTACAGTGGTTTTCATTATTTTTCAAAATTGTTGAGTAAATTTAAACTTCCAAAAAATTAGAAGCACTAAGATTTGATTAAAGGTTTAATATTTGAATTATGGGTAAGTTTTGTAACTTAATGTAGAGTTCCTCGATTTAAACATTAAAGAGATTAGGCAGTTATGAAAACTGAACTATTTCATAAAGAAACTGCACATGCGCCGACATGGACGCCTGTGCTTTAGAATTTAGGGCAAGTGAGGGTGAGGAATGATTACTAAAATTGCGAAATCTCTCTATTGTTTAGATGCTGGTGTAATTAGTACGTTAGATGCACGAACTCTAATCTATATGGAAGACTTATCGTTTACAAAACTGATGATTTATGCAGGCAGAAACATTAAAACTTTTCGAACATGAAAGCAATAAAATATAGAGGAATAGAATTTAGATTAAAATAATTTCCGTAGAATGTTTCATAAAATTTAATTTTTATGTTCATATTTTAGGTTTCCAGACAATGTTAGAAAATATAAAATAATTAGCATAAGAAACAATTAATAATTGAATGCAAACAAATTACTCAAAATCACTGTTTTTGATAACAAAAATCTTATTTTGATGGCAAATGTATGAAAAAAAGAACACGATCAAAATTGGAAGATTTTCCTTGTTCTCTCCGCTAAATCTTTCTTAACCATCTTTTTTCAGCAAACAATAATAATTAGGCGTAAATTATTAACTTCAAAAATTGCAAATGATTTGTTTTATTCAAATTTTTTTTTGGAATAAACAATTGTTTATAATTATTTTTACAATACCTCACTTGCATATTTTGTGGCTTTTTATTTCATAAAAATTACTTATTTGATTAGTTATCAGATTTTATGCTGTTGAATTTGGTGATACAATACTTTTCTCCAAAAATCATATACTAACATAATTCTGGTGATAAACAATATGGTTTGCAAAAGATTGATTATAATAATCAATTACGGGAGTCTTATCTTAGAAATAATAGTTATCTCAGAAATAAAATAAGTTGTGGTGCTAACTTTTCAATGATGAGTCTCATTTTTAAAAAAAGAAACCTATTGAATATCTGTTTTAATAACTATTTAGATAACTGCGATTGATGGAATGGTTCAAAAATAGTTAAAAAAGAATTTATATTGAATCCATATCTACAAAACAACGAATGAAATGCGGTGAAAATAATTTACAATTATGGTTAGATTAATAGTTTAAAATGTAGTTTTGAGTTATAAGAGTGTAATTAACTTTAGAATTAAAACGTAACGTATTTACTTAATTAAAACTTGCTTTAGAATTAAAAGTAAATATGTTGGAATTAAAACTTTCTAAAGTTGATAATGTTAAATATTTTTTTTTGCTCTAGGCATTTTATTTTTATTGAAAATATGATAATATTCTCCTGCATAGCCTATGTGATCATAATCATGAACAGAGGTAGGAACTTCAAACACTATTTCAACTCTAAAATTTTTTTTTCTCATAAATATACAAAAAATATTAACGTGTTTTATTTAAAAATGTCTAACGTTTCATTGAAATATTTATATGTCACGAGGCTTGCTGAAAAGTAAAGATATGTCACCTGCTGACGATAGCAGGAAATTTCATTACATAGTTTTTCAACTAGATTTCATCTTGGTATAAGTAATTTTTTCTGTTTAAGTATATTTACCATGCCTTTGCTTTAAGAAAATAGTGTTTTCAGTAATAAACTAAGAGAAAATTCCTACTATAATGAAATTACATATCGTCATAATTATTTTAAATTAAGAAAAATAGACTTTCAATGCATATTTGCAAAATATATACACAATTATTGGAACATTATCAAAACCTAAAATGTAATGCAATAGTTTCATTATTTGTCTTCTTGATATAAGAGTGATAGAGTCCTCACAACTCTAGTCTCCACTGTAAACATAATAGAGATCTTTGAAGACAATATTAGATCAGACGTGGAGGAGTCATAATGTCTTTATATGCTATTTCTTTGTGAACCTTAAGCCTTTACCTAAATTTTATCTTATGAATCATGCAATGGATTCCATCTCATGTTAATTTAAATGGATTTAGATCAACAAAAAACTTTTACTTGAACCAGACTCTAGGTAGAAATGTAGACAAAACACGAGGTGAAAGTCAAACAATCAAAATATGCAATAAAATGTTGTGTTAGCATACATGTGATGTCTCCTTACTTCTAAGACAACCTTCATACTTAACAATCAGTAAACGTACTTACTGTTTGCATATGTCAAAATACGCTTATTTTTTTATTTAAACTAAATAATTAAATTATTTATTCAAAGTTATGAACAAATATACTGTCTGGAGAATTATGAACTTGAACGTTGAGAAAAAAGCATGGTTTAAACTACCAGAATATGGTAAAATTTAATCTGTTTCTGGCTCTATGGAAACAACAAAAAGCTTCATACTTAACATTTAGTAAAGGTACTTACTGTTTGCATATGTCAAAATACGCTTATTTTTTATTTAAACTAAATCATTAAATTATTCATTCAAAGTTATGAACAAATATACTGTCTGGAGAATTATGAACTTGAACGTTGAGAAAAAAGCATGGTTTAAACTACCAGAATATGGTAAAATATAATCTGTTTCTGGCTCTATGGAAACAACAAAAAGCTCGGTAATTTTTTCCAAAGCACTTTAGCAATGATTTTGGTAAAGCAAATTATTTTTAATAAAATTTGGTGAATGTTGTGAAATTTTGTAATTTTATCACGATGCCTTAGAGCATATCATAAAAATATTTATTCGGTTAAATTTGCATTTCTGTTTCGCGTTTTTTACTATGCGTGCGGTAATAAGAACTATAATTTTGAAAACCAGAATTTCCCGAATACAATATGAATGGGAAAATTTCCAAACGAATGATTCAAAATTCCCCTCTATTATTTTTTTTAAAATCAAAAAAGGCATTCTCATACACTACGGTAATTTTTCAGAATTTTTTTCTCCGTTAAATGTGCTTTTTCGAGAATTTTGCTTTCAGGCTAACACTATATGTGTGTTACACAGCGTCGCCAGCATAATATTCAATTATATTAGAGTTGCTCCATGCATCATTTTCAACCTTAATTTGGCGAATATTTTTCATCACATATACCTGAGAATTGTGGCCTTCAAACATNCCACCCATTGCATTCTCTAGATCTTGTATCGCGCAATCGATATCTATCTTGTGCAGTATCTTTGCAAACAGATTCTTGAATTTGGCAATAACCTTCTCTGTGTGCTAAGAAAAGCCGGCCGTTGTCACACATGCACACCTGGTAAACATCTTGAAGGCTTCTGTCGTTTGGGGTTCTGCGTGAGAGTTTTAGATTCTTCATTTCTAATCGGCTGCTATCAATCACCACCTACAATATTTAAATTAATTTATAATTTTAAAATTAAAGAGAAAAATATTTAAACACTTTTGCACAAAGGAACTGTCTGGAGAAAGGTTTTTAATGTAAGTCATTCCTTTTAAAAGAGAATGATGAAATAAAAACTTTACAAAATTACTTATTTTAAGATAAACTAAATGAAAATTCAAAAAATAATTCTAATTTTGTCAGATTACAGGCGAAAAATTTTAGGTTGCCACTTTCGTTGAATCCTGAAAAATTTCGAATCAAATTACAGTAAAAATTACCGCCACTTTCAGTGCCGGTACTTTTTACCGCAAAATCTGTATTACCAAAACATGTTACGGAAAAATTTGACACACTGTAATTTTTATAGTAATAATTACTGCAAAATCAATGAACCACTTTTATTAAATGTGCTCATTGAATCAATATTTCTGTACAGTAAAAAATGGATTTCGTGGTAAAATGGATTTCACCGATGATGCACCTGAAGTGCCGGTGCTTTATATTGTAATCTGATCTCTGATCTGAAGTTCTTTAATTGTAGCATCAGATCCAAAACTTAATTCACGTTTTCGAAAGTGAGGCATCCAATAAGTAAGCTCTAATTATTATAATATTGGTTATTTATAGACGGTTATTTTATCGCAAAAAATAACATATGAAACAAAATAAATTATTCTATTAATAAAGTATTATAATAATAAATTATGAAACATAATAAGACTTGCATATGACGAGAAATAATATTGTAGAGCTTCACATATAAGACATCTTTTCTTTATTACAAAAACGTCTTATGAAACATGACCGAAAATTTTGAAAAGGAAAATAATCTTTTTTAGTTTGTCTATTGGAAAATAAGTACGTTTATATGTTTTAAAATTACGAGTACAATAGACTAGACAGGGACCGATTTTTGTCTCCATTTATCGAAAATAAATTCCCCCCCCCGTCATATGAATTTCTTCGATTTGAAATTCTGTAAAAATAAGCTGTCTATAAGATTCTAGCTTAAAAGAATGTTATGGATTACTTACTCTTCCGCCTGTTGATTTAAGATTCATATCTTTCAGACCAGAAACAGATATTCCTCCAGCTGGTGAATTCACTTGCACTTTTCCTTCACTACGAATTTTCACTTTCTTCAGAAGTGACTCTAAACTGAAAAAATATTTTCATAAAACTCATTACTAAGATTAAATAATAAATATGTTATTTACATAGCTACTTTATTAAGTTGAAGAGTATGCAAAAGAAAAATAGTGGTATTTAGGTTACGGATAACTTATAATGGATATTATCTATAGTGCGCAAAAGAATGAACGGACCCCCTTGATTAACTTTTGACTTTGAAGAGCATTACGTAAAAGCAACATCTAGTATTAACGTGGATATACTAACGATATTATATTTTTCTAGGAAATGTAGGAACCTTAATAATATTGACATATCCCTGTAGCTCCACTACTATGTGTCTACGTTTTTTTTAATGGCGGCCACTTGTGTCTATTTTTTATGTCCTCAAAAATGCCATAATATCTACTCTCTCATAGTTATCCATTGGGCACCTGTGGCTATGCCACGGCGTTGGAGTAGCGTCGCCCACGTCATACAACCCACAAATCCGTTAATAGGGATGGTTACATTCGCACAATCACATAAAAGAAAGGATATAGATTACACAGAAAGAGGAGAGAGAGTTTCATTCACGCTTATGGTGGGATTCGAACCCACAACCATTGGTTCCTTATTTTAGTACAGGAACCACTAGACCTGTGATCAGCCTATGTGTCTACATTAGCCCTGTCATTTGTTAGTCCTGCTAAGCTCGTTCATTAGCCCTATCTATGCTCGTTATTCATTCCATAAAAAAAAACGCAAATGAAAAGGGACAATCAAAATATGTAATAAGTATATTCATATTTTGAAAAATTATAAATAAAAATAGCCTAAAGCTGTAATTAAACCATAAATTAAGAAGTTATTTTTCCACCATGAAAATCTTTTTTTTTAAATTTATTTGCTATTGAACAATCCAGAGTGTTATTTTGTAACTATACAAGAAAGCGTAACATAGTTTTGCAAATCTGACAAAATTTACGGAGAATATTTCAGTAGTAAATAACAAAAATATTCCATTTTCCACCAATAACCCTTTCTCTCCTATATAGAAATTAAATAGTGACAGAGGTAGGGTTATGGTTTTAAAATTTGGTACATTATATCCGTTTTTATTTTGAGATGTCGTATATTTTTCACAAGATTTTGTCTAAGACTAACTTTACTACTTTGACTCCAAAGAATTTCAGTCGTAAAAAGTTATTGGTAAAAAAAAATTTATCAGTTCAAAACATTTTTTTCTCCAAAAAAGAATAAGTAAATGAAAAAAAAAATTTTTGTTGCAGCAAAGTAATAAACTCTACTTTCATTTCAGATTCTTGGTCTGGCGATAACGGAATTTGGAGACATTTCGATCTTATTCTGAAAACTATATGACAAGAAAGACCGGTAGATTCTTTTATCCTTTTGTTGCTTTTGCGAACTTTTTTTTAAGGGACTCGCTTTAGAAGGAAAAGAGTACATGATAAGTAGCGCCATCTTCTGTCCATTTCCGAAACTTTTTATCTAGGTAGTCTATTGTGTGCGCTACGCTAACTCTTGATTCTCATATATGCTTCAGGTTTCGCTTTGAAGTTGTAGTGCTTTTTTCTCTCCCACCCATTGCATTCTTTTCCCTTAACATCGTCTGCGTTTCAATGTTGGCAGAGCTCTTCAGAAAAACTTTTTCGGGGCTGCCAATATTGTAGAGGGTATAGACGGTTCTTCCTTCCCCTGTTTCTTTTATTTTGGTCCTTTTTTCCTTGCGACTTTTCCTGAGAAACTCCCTGGGGTATATGTGATGAGGAGATATACTGAAGGACGTAGATGCAAGCGAGAGAAGGAAAATATAAAAAAAAATATTCGAGAAGAAAAAGTCTGAGAGGGAGAAAGAGGGAGGAAACGTCACGGAAGCGGAGTTCTTCGTCATAGGTGGGAGGAAACGGGAAAAATCTTCTGGATATTTCAAGTAAAGTTTTGGGGATCGAGTAGTTATTGTGAAAACAAATTGAAGACAATGAACTTTTAATGGAAGTCAGCGTCTTCGAGGTATTTTATGAATTAATGAAATCAGATATTGTTCGGTAAAACTAAACATTAGGTATTTGTTTGCTTTTTATTTAGTTTTCAGAATAAAGTACGAATTTAAGTGCCGGCGATATTGCATTATAAGATTATTTATTACAAATCTTGCCGAAAAATAATTGAAAATTGATCATAGTTTGCGACTTTTAAAAAAAATTTAAAATCTTAAATGATTTTAAATGATTTTAATGGTTTAAATTTTGAAAAAGTTGTCTTTTAGATCTGATATAGATGTATAGAATAGTAAAATAAAACATAATTAAAAGTTATCCTCTTAAAATATAACGTACAATTTTCAAATATTGTAGCATTTGTGCATTATTTCATATAAAATTTTAAGTAAGTAAAATGAAAATTTTTAGCAACCGAATGTGAAACAAAGAACATTAATTTCAGAACAAAAAAAAATATTTTATAAAATGATTAAAGAGTGTTTCGATTTAGAGAGGTTTATAAAAACATCATTCTAGAGGCTATTTTTCCCCTGTAAAAGTGTTCCTCTGCATTTGATGTTCGTATGCCGGAAAAATGCACTTAAATATTATTTTTCTTTAATCAACTTAGAAGGAACTTCAATTGTGGTAACAAATGCCATTTTTCCTTTAGAGTACATTTGTTTGTATTTTTGGAAACTCTTAGTAGTTCATTCAATACTAAAAGTTAAAATTTTTTTTCATATAACTTCAGACATATCTTAGTACGTAATGCATTGACCCTTTGAAATACACCACTCAATCAGATGAAATCAAATGCCAGGGACGAAAAGCAACCAAAATGTTAATTTTAATACTAAAAGTTTTATTTTTAGCATTATTAGGTATTCTAAAATATTAAATTTCAAGCAAAATAAATTGCTATTAACTATTGGAAGCTTAAAGGAGTTTAAGGTTCGACAAATCTTGCCACTTTTTCTTTAGATAGTTTTAAAGACATTTTTAGAAACTTTAATCTTTATTTTAAGATTTCACCTGTCAGAATAAATTCTGCTATTTTTGCAAGTATATAATCATACCTTCGAATAAAATACAACTACATACCGACGAACAAAATGCAATTAGGCATTCTTGATATCAAATATTAATAGTTGCTTAACTATTAATATTTCTAATAATTTTAGTATGTTTTTAAGTATCGACGTTAAGACAAAATAAATTAACGTAACTGCAGGTGTACTACACGGATATATCCAGACAAATTTAATTTTACATCAAATTTTACAGCTCACATTTTGCAGAGATTTTTCACTCGATATTCACAGGGATTTCTCCGCAGAAGTTTTGAGACTTATTTAAAAAATGAGAAAATAGTAGCTCAGTGAAGCTGTGAGAGGCAGCAGTAACCATCAAAAAACTAAACTAAAGGAAACATCACAAAAAAAGGAAACTTAAATAATAAAACTTGTAGCTTCTTTCGGACTAGCCACTTTAAATTTATTGCAAGTAAAAGAACCAAATATTGGCACTTTGGCCTCTTTGCAATAGTAGTTGGCATGGTTATGATCCGGATACGAGAGTGCCTCTAGTAAAAAGTGTCCACTTTTTTAAAATATTATATCTGAAGTAAATGGACGTTTTTTAATTAAGGGCATACCCGTATACGGATCTATCCGAGTACAGAATATTATATCTGAGCCGTGGTGGCTCAGGGGATTGAGCGGGTTCGAATCCCGGCGATGGCTGGTTGATGCGAATTCGCAATCCGACTCACACCGACCATAGTGCTGCCGTACAATATCCTCATTGGTAGAAGGTTATGGGTTAGAGTCCCCTTGCTGTCATTCTTACTGTGAGAGGTGTTCGTGGTTTTCTACTTCATGTAATGCAAATGCGGGTTAGTTTTATCATAAAAAGTCCTCCTCGAAGGCAAATTTTCCCAATACTTGATCCAGGATGTCTCTTGTCTCCTGGATTGGGTTCGAATTTACAAGACTACGGAGTTGAATATAAGTAGTCATAAACCCAATAACTTGGGTCGGCTGCCTAACGATGGTTATGAAATAAAATAAAATATTATATCTAACTAACAGAGAATATTGGTCCTTAGCTAATGGATAAATTCCAAATTTAATATAACAACACATAACATGATAATTCATAATGATATTCAATTGCTTAATTAACTTTGCAATGATCCTCTGATCAATCAGGATGGAAGCAATTCTCGTTAGGTTCCGCTTGGACATAATGAATGATATTCATTATTCATTATGCATTTCATAATGATTATATCATTATTTTTAAGAATTCTAGTTGTATATTTTTTATCCTGTAGCATTAAAATTAAAGGTAACTGAAATAAATATAGGTTGTATAAAATGTATGATGATGATAAAATCTTTTGAATATGGTAAAGGATGCATTGATAGAAACTTGAAATTTCCCTTATTTCATTGCTATGTTCTCCCCCAAGTAATGGTTAGTAAAAAAAATCCGAGCGGAACCTAACGGGAATTGCTTCCATCCTGATTGAACGGAGAATCAGTGCAAAGTTAATTAATCAATTAATTATCATTATGAAAGTAAAGAGAGCATTAAGACGCTGGCCTTGAAGACATCAATAAATGATTTTCTTTTCCTTTTCTAAAAATAAATTTTATTTTAGTACAAGAAGAGTTGATCGATATTGAACATGCCTTTTTTCCTGAGCAATGAACCTACTTATTTGAATTTATAGCTTATTTTTATAGTTACAGTACATTCATTTTCATCAAATTTGAAAAGTTATCGATGAAAATCTACCAGAAGATTCGGATTGCAGTTTGTTTTCTTTATCAAAGAATAATAAAATATTGGTGTTTTTTCACATAAAACTTTTTCAGAAAACAGATCATTTTATATTTAATAAAAATCGCGTTTAAAGCTATAACTTCGAGATAACAAACCATCTAATAAGTTTAATTATTTCTTTCGGAGAACATCAATTCATGACATTGACAATTTTTTCGGATCCTCAAGTTGCAGTAGGATTTTCTTCACTAC